GCGCGCGCGACGACGCGCGCGTGTGCACTTCGTCTCAGTTTTTGAAGAAGGGGTTCTTGAAAACTTATGAATTTTGATAAACGAATGCGCACACATAGTATGTGCTGCAGAAGATGGCGGGGGGAATGGTATCGGCCTGGCTGGGTTAGCTTGAATTCATATTCAGGATGGACGAACCTGCAGAACATATATGAAATCACACTACCCCAGGGGGTACCGTTAACTCCGGGGGGGGGGTGGTAGCGTCTCTTCTTCTTTTAGAAAGGAGAATACATATGCAATGCAATTCTATGTGGTGTGAACTATGTTGAGGACAACACAACCCACCCCGCCCCCAACCAAGACATTCACTACCGACCTGGTAATCCAGGGGGTCCCGGCTGGGGGCGGGGGTGTGTTTGTTGATTTCCTCTGGGCCAAAAGACCACCCTCACCTCCAGCCAGGACCCCCTGGGTCACCGCGGGTCGGGAGTGGGGGTCGTGGGGTTGAGGGTGGGTTGTGCTGCCCTGATGTGTGGTGTAGGCTATGCAGTGCAACGTATGGGGTGTGAGCTGTGATGTATGGGATGTGCAATACGATATGTGATGCGCTCTGTTTGGCATGAGCTACGCGGCGTAGGCTAGTTATGTGGCACAATCTACGCGGGCCGACCCAGCGCACGGGGCGCCCACGAGGCGCCCACGGGCGGCAGCGTGGCGAAACCTCGGCGGACCCACCCGGCGCACGGGGCGCCCACGAGGCGCCCACGGGGCGCCCGCGCGGCGTCACCTCGGCGGACCCACCCGGCGCACGGGGCGCCCACGAGGCGCCCGCGCGGCGTCCCCGCGGCGGACCAGCCCACCGCACGGGGCGCCCACGAGGCGCGGGGCGCCCACGGCCGGCGGCGTGGCGGCACCCGGGCGCGGGCCCGCACGAGGCGCCCACGGCCGGCAGCGTGGCGAGACCTCAGTGGCCCCATCCGGGTCCTTCGGCGGTTCCAAAGACGTGGTGCCTGAAACAACGTGAATTCACCAAGATGGGGTCCTGAGGGACCCCATCTTGGCCCCAAGATGGGGTCCTCAGGTCCTTCGGCGGTTCAGGAGGTGGGGTCCTGAGGGATGGGGTCCTGAGGACGAGGTGCCTCAAACAACATAAACTCACCATTGGATCCCTTCCTATCCTTAGGACCCCATCCCCCAGGACCCCGTCTTTGAACCACCGAGTCCATAGGGGCACCAAGAACAGCTCCTGCGTAAGGGCAAACACTGTTCGGGGAACTACTCTGGCCCCCCCCCGCCCAACCCTTCCAGGCAATGAGAAGGCTCGCCAGAAGCGAGCCTGCACGATCGGACTGAACTTCCTGGCTGCAGCGCTGGCAGCGGAATGACCGCCGAACGCGGGCCGGGGCGCTTGGAATGAGCTCCTGGCGATATCCTTGGCAGTGCGAGTTGCTCCAAAGCGCGAGCTGGCACGCTGAGAGTGAGCAGGAAGCTGTATGTGACAACGAGTGCTTGATGTTCTCCTTTCCACCCTTCGAACGCTCAAAGACGGCCCAGGAGGCCCGCAAGATCGCCCACAGACAGCCCCAAGGATCGCCCCACCAAGGCCTCCAGGAGGCCGACGAGTCCCCCACGAGGGCTCCTAGATGGGCCCAGGATGGGGCAACGCGTAATGCGGGATGACGATTAATAAAAGCATGAAAAACATGGGAGGGAACGATTTAAAACATAGTTTTCCTGCTATTTCTGCATAATTTTTCTGACTGGAGGAGAACGATGAAACAAACATAGTTTTCCAGCCCGCGGCCGGTTTTTTCTAATCGTCATCCCGGACGCCGCCGCGTGAACACGACCCCCGGAACCGTCATCCTCCATTAGGGACCTTTGGAGCTTCTTCCTCCAAGATAGCCCCCAAGATCCACAACATCCCCTACAGAGCCCCCCGCCAGAGGCCTCCAAGAGGGCCCGACTATTGTTCAGACAGCGCCAATGACGAACCCGCGACCCTCGAGCGGCATCCCAAGAGTCGGCGGTGGACAAACCTCCCTTAGTACACCTCACCGTAGTGAACACGGCCGAAGACCGACACCGACAGACCTGGACCCGCAAACATGAAGGCCGCGACGACCTCTCGCGAACCGAGAACGGCCAACCAATTCCTTATCCGACGTGTCAGGGTAGGAGGTCTATTCACCTCCGAAACAGGCATCCAAGACGCCTCTGGCCTCCTGCCCAGCCGCGTTGCGCATGGCACGGTGGGCCCATTTGGGGCAGCCAGGCTCGCTAGGACGCCTGTCGGCGGACAGAGAAAACATCAGCGCCATGGGCACGGATGCATGGGAGGAGGAGGAGGAGGAGGGGGAGGAGGAGGAGGAGGGCAGGGGAGGAGGCGAGGAGGAGAGAGGAGAGAGGAGGAGGAGGGAGGAGGAGGAGGAGAGGGGGGAGGAGGAGGAGGAGGAGGAGGAGGAGGGAGGAGGGGGGAGGAGGGGAGGAGGAGGGGATGAGAGGAGAGGAGGAGGAAGAGAGGAGGGGAGGAGAGGAGGATGCATGGGAGGGGTAGGATGTCAGATATGGCTCGTGCGCCCAAAGTTTGTCC